TGATTATCACGAAAGCGAAAAAATCATTATTGCAATTTAGAAATAAAATTTCATTATTATATCAAGCAAACGTTATTATCTATTTTATATGTAATTGATATATATATATATATATATATATATATATATATATATATATATATATATATAATAGAGCAATAATTAGTCTCCTTAAAATACTTTAAATGTCTTATCAATATAACTCAGGTATTGCCAATTACCGTATTACTGTAATTATGGGCTTTTATCATTAAAGCTACGCTTATAAACTATTCAAATATTCAAGTTTTAAAATTACTTCAAGTTATTCTTCCAAACCTATTGCTATTAAAATAATGGAATAATTCAATCCTACTTCATTACAATTCTAGCTTCAATTATAACTAGTGTACAAGTCATTTAAATTTGAAAAATTCGAAATTAGTAGAAAAACCAACCTCCATTTCAGCCGCAAACAGATTAGAGCGTCACCTCATTATATGTGTGGGTGGGTGAGCCACGCGAGTGTTTTAGGTTGAGAGAAAGAGCACGCACAAAGTAATTGCGGTTACGTGGATATTTAAGAAAATTGTACCATACCATGTAAGCATGTACTTGATGACTACATATATAGTCTTTTATCAAACTTTTGAAATTTTTTTTTATACAACTGTTTTATCCATAATACTTTCTATTTATATACTTTTTACTACGTCTTCAACTAAGTTTTGCTCCTTTTATACGATGAAATACGTCTAATGAGATATATTAGAGTCAGGTGACTTATATTTATGCCATCTTAACAGCAGCTGTGCTTTACTACTACGTTTTATTTTATTAATATATTCTTGAAACATTCATTCATGATTGTATACCATTTATGAATTTTAACATGCGTGTGTTAGTGAGAAATCTTTGGAATTCATTGAACTTTCCTCTTTCCTATTTTCTCTTAAACCTATGCATTTCCAGCACTGCGTATTATTATTCAGTGAATTCAAGAGCTTTTAATAAATAAGGTTTGTGAATTAAAATAGATGATATTTTCAAGTCTTACAAAATCTTTTATAAACTATTAAATTATTGGTATGATTATTTTGCGAAGTCTTGAGATTGTCATGATGAATCTTAATATAACTGATGGAGAATGTAGCGTTCATCGTATAAGCTTGAAATATGATAAAGCTATAATCTTGAGAGGTAAACAGTATGTTTTTTAAAGTACAATGAAAATTTTAAGTTAATTAATTCGTATTATATAATAAATTATAATTGAATGTTCCCCAATTTTAACGATCAAATCTCCTTTCAAATTACAAACAATCTATTACTCTTATGTGATTGAGGTATTTTAACCGGTACGTTCTTTCTAGTATTGATCATCGTGATCTCCTATTTATATATACTTCCTTGGTTGATTAGAGTTAGAAGTAAACAGCATACGATCAGATGCTGAGCCAAAAGCGATAATACTTAGATGTTATTTCTCCTGCGATCTGAACTACACGATAAGCCAAAGAAGCCTTGACGCATAAACCGTTTAAATAAGACCATTAAAACCCTTAAGTAATAGAATTTGAATTATATGATGCTTAAATTGAATAAGGCTTGAATTTACGTCCTCGAGTGGTACTAGCAACAGCGCGGCTATAGTTGTGATACTCTAAGCAACATAAGGGAAACAGGCTTCTCTGTTCTCTATTTGCGTATGGTTCGGTTATTGTAATACTTGTGCATGTTGCGAAGAGACGAAGACGATAATTGGAATGATGTTTGAAATATAGGAAGAGCGATTAATTTAAATTACCTACCAATTACAAAGCAATTGCCGGTGTAATAAATGTCTCGATTGCACGAAAGTTTTCAAATTCATATGATTTTTCTGCTGTATGCAACGTAGCCGATAACTGATTTATACACTGATTTAATTGTTTTATCGAATTAACGAATGCGAAAATTATAGGAATTATTTATCATCTCATGGCTATAACTAATTTTTCATAAAAGCAATAACAAATTTTTTTAATACACTATGGTGAACTAACTGTATATAACATTCTACGTATCTTTTATTTTATTCTATATTTTGCATCATACATTATTGATAATATCGATATGTAATCTGCATAAATATAGTGATGGAATATGAATGACCTTCGTCTATCATACGCGTCACTTTTCGCAGAGGTTTTGAAATAAAATTTTCTAGAGTTATATATTTTAAAATGTTATTTGTAGCAATTTATTTATTCCCTACTACGTAGAGAACAAAGTTAATTATTAAATTTTTATAAAAATTTCTTTACGATCATTATAAAATTACATGCGCTTAATTAAAGCATTAGGGAATCAATTTAATTCACATTAAAGCGGCTATACATCAAGGAAAAATATTTACTGAAAAATATATCGAAGTATGTAAATGTCGTATAAACGTTCTATTAATATCTTTTTTCACTGGTGATTTTTCAAGTGTAACCTAGAAATAAAAGTAGTCGATCTAAACAAGTATACTTAGTATATTTTTATTTATATGCTGGTGTGTAAATTTGCAAACGAATTCAGAAAAAACTTCCTTAAAAAGGTTTACCGAAGACATTTATTTTACGAACGAAAAATAACTTTAGAAAATAGAATTTACGTTCTTAAACATATACACTTGTGTGTTACGTACAATATTATTTGGAGTCCATAAACAGCAAAGAACTTTCTTATACAAAAAGTTTTGTATTCAAATTTTGTAACATTTATCATAAAAGAACATATTTATAGTGATACTTATAGTCATTGACTTTTTATCATCATTTTTATTTGTACGAAATTATTTTTAAAACTGGTTAAAAAATTATAAAAGTATTTGTAAAAGGCACATTCTGCATCTTTCTCTATCAATTGCTTATTATTGCTTTAAGTGAATTTTATGCAGGGGTACATATAATTTGGTCAGAAAAATATTTACACAAAGATCACAAATATTATAATAGTTGAAAAGAGCTTTTCATTAAAAATAGTTTTGAATGAAATAAAAAGTAATTTCTTACTTAATTCATACAATACATATCATTAGAAGATTAAACACTAACTAAACTCGTATTAATTACATGTATTATCTCTGTTTATTATCCAGGTTTATGAAATTTACATCATTCGAAATCATAGAAAACATAATTTCTTTTAAATTTAGATTAGCATATTCAATTAAATGTACGATTAATCTACAAAGTTCATGATGTTTCGAAGCGAAGAATTTAGAATTTATACAGAAAAATTTGATCTAGTATTATATAATATATCTTACTCACCTAAGTAATGTCACAGATACAGGTGTTATTATTCATTCGTAGATAAAGCTGTAACTTAATATTTCAGAAATTATTTAACAAACGTTTTACTAGGATCTATATAAACATAAACGAAATTCTACTTTTCAAATTAAAAGTAGAGGTAGACTAATACTTCTAAAAACTTTTACCCAATTTATGATATTAAACTTTAGTAATTTATATTTTGCTGAGCATTAATTTGTTTCTTATATTGTCTTAAAAAAAAAAAAAAAAAAAAAAAAAAAAAAAACCTAACTCTACAACAAGGCGACAAGATTTATTTAACATAAACTACTCTACGATTCAATGCAATTACATGAATATATTATAAATATATATTATATGATTCAATAATGTATTATCTCATAAATGAGTAGGAATTTTGAATTTATATCATAAATTTATCCTATTTCTTATTACTGATACTAACTTCATAATTATTATCATTGTTAATATATTTTTATTATTATGGGTAAATTAAATGTATGAAACAGTCAAAATAAAATTGATTTTTATTGAGATATACAACGGCATATGGAAAAATTATTGAAAGTATGAGAAAAAAAACTAGGGGCAGCAGTAAAACCAATCAGAATCAAAGCTTAAAAAGTGTGTGGAAATTTAATGCATGAATTTGCATTTAGAAAACGTAATATTATCCTTCATCTCTTTCTCTCGTGCATTAATAAGATATAAGACAGAGATAGAGATAGAGACAGAGACAGAGATAGATAGGTAGAGTAGATTAGATATAGAGACTAGATAGAGAGGGGGGGGGCGAATACGATACGAAGCGTTACGATCTCGCTACTTACAAGTTTTTTGCGCACAAAAAAATGCAATAAAAAATACCCAGTCGAATTTGTGATGACCTCTGTCTATACACTATCCTATATATATATATATATATGATGATTGTTAGTTCGATTTGTGGCTAATAATTAGTGAGATTTCTTCGGTCGGTACAATGTTATAAATTTGTCATACTTCAATCGCTCTTTTAGCTATCTTGAAAGTTTGATAAGTCCTGGCTATTTCGACTACTTTTCCAGATTATCTCTCCCTTGATATTCCTTGGTCCATAAAATTTGGCGAACATGGAATGGATACATTATAGTAGCTTCAGTGGGCATTAGCCATGAAGAAAGAAATTCTGTATTTTTGATTAATTGAAGAAGCTTCGTTTAATATTGTTTTCACACGTTAATGTGTATTGAATAGGAGAAGGATTTTTAGATAATAACTTTGGAAAACAGGAATATTTTGCACATCGGATTATATATATTGATTTAAACATCATTTTGATTTCTAATTATAACCGCTGGTGATATAAATAAATATTCATTTATGTAATTTTACGTAATTGTCAGAATATTATGTACAATATAATGTCCGATAATCCTATCAATTATTGAAAATATTTAATACATTTTAAAAATAGATGTTTTTACAAAAATACCCATAATATACATTATATCGTTAAAATGATATAAATATTAAATCGTCTTCATATTATTTTGAAAGTTAAAATAGCTCCTTATAAAGAAGAATTTCACCTATGATGCAAATTCAATTCAATCATTATATAACGAGTATCGACCTGCGTGTGACGTACGTCAAAATCAATTTTCTCAAGACAAACAACTTTGCTTGGTCTCTCGTATTCTCCAACTACGCTCCTATATATTTTGGTTACAGTTGCTGGTAGGAAACGACAATCCACAAACGGAAAAGGAACAAGTCTTCGATCCACCTATCCTGGCGGCCCGAATACGTTTCATCCCCTACACATCACACATCCGCATAGTCTGCATGCGAGTCGAACTTTACGGCTGTCCTTGGATCGGTAAGTGAAATTTACGATTTGGACACTTCGTACGACGAATAGGCTCTCTTCTATCCTCCCGCTCTTTTACATTTTTATTTTTCTCATGTCGTGGCCTTTCATATTCTTTGTACGTATTCGCGGAAACGAGAGAAATACCGCGTAACCAAAAATTTTTACCTTTTTTCTAATGTTACATCACATAGATAAATTACAGTTATATAGGTAAATGTATATCATAGATTTTTGTTCGTTATCGCAATTTTCATTACTTAATGGTAATTATTAGTAGTTATTAGTTATTAGTATATAAACTATTTCAAAATTGTTAAACATAACACTTGCCAAAATAATTGTCAAATTCAATGACTTGAATGGATGAACGAAAATCTGTATACAAAAATGATTGATAAAATAGTATAGATCATTGAATATATGCTGAAAAGTTTTAAGTTAGATTATTTTACGTCAAACTACACGTATAAAGGTGGCCAGCGTATATTACATTTGCAAGTCATAGTCTCCTAAAATTAATGTATCAGATATATTTCATATATAAATCTATTGAATAATGGTATTTTGTTATTGTAATAAAAAAAAATCAATTTATAAAGAAATTATCCTTTGAATATCAATATTTAGCTTAAGATATTGCAATGTTTACATCAGCTCTCTAGAAGATGTACAAATATACGTGAATATATATATATATATATATATATATATATATATATATATATATATATATACGTGTGTGTGCGTGCGCGCGCGCGTGTGTACAAATGTATGGACTTTGCTCTTACGGAGGCTACGAAGTGCGAGTAATACGCGATTTACGAGATACATAACAGAAGGAAATAGAAACAGATATCGAAAAAGATTCCAGCATTCTGAGAAACGTAAATTACTTTATCCATTGTGCTTCTCCCTTCCGACCTGCGTTCTTCGTATCTTTTTTATGGGCCCGAACCGATTTTTATTGCATCGCGGATTGTCCTTACCAAAGTGCATTCGACTTAGATAATAAAGATTAAATGAGACGGGAGGGGAGGAGATAATGTGCAATGGAAAAGAGAATGGAAAAGCGAGTAGATAGTTGATTTTGTGAAGGTAGCGAAGAAATTTTGAGAATCTCGTTATGTTCGGTAAATTGCTTGGCCAATTTTAAATATAACTGTCATACCGTAGAATGCTACTGCCGAAACGAAACCTTAACATTATCTTAATTGATTTTCATATAAGCGTAAATTTGAATATTAAGCTGCAGAAATTCGTGGACCGAGAGGTAGGCGGAAATTAAAAATTAAATTACGTGCTTCAAATTAATTTTGTACGGAGTAAGTCGCAAGGCAATTCTAACGACACTCATTAAACTCGACAGAATTTAACTTGTCCGACAAGCCAAGTTACGTCCTCATTACAGTTAGATTGACCCAAGTATCTCAGAACTCTCTAGAGCCAAATATTTTCGTCTCAGACTGTAAGTGTGTTTCCATATTTGAAAATTCATTCGACAAAATTTATTCCACATTAAGTTACATAGGAGTGACAAGGCCCAACCACCCTTACGAACAAATAATATTTATCACTATCTGCCTCGTGCGTTACAGCGTTACAGTGTATTAGCGCGAGGGGATAATAAAAGGAGGATGAAACTTTTGTTCCAGCCTAATAGAATCCATTAATCTTCTTAAGTACAATTTAAAAATTAAATCATACATTGAATAGGGCACGGGTATATTCGATGGTACGTTGGATACTGTAAAGAATAAAGCATTATGCATAAAATATTATCAGAGAGAGAAAGAGAGAGAGAGAGAGAGAGAGAGAGAGAGAGAGAGAGAGAGAGAGAGAGAGAAGAATAATCCGAGTAAAAATAATACAAACAATAGTTGAAGCCGAAGGGGATTTCCAACGAGCGAACTTAATCATCGCCGCCTTGTCGCTCGTTCCCCCGGCATTCACGCAATCGTTACTTTGCATTTCAGCCTCCGCGCCGGATTGCAAGCGCACTGCGGCATTTACCGGTCAGAAGCACAGATGGTTGCGCGAGTCTCGTCCCCGAGCTTTCAGGTGCCGGAACAACCCAGACGCGCTCGCCCGTTACTGGTTACGAGGGGCCTCTGCCACCGCCACCGCCACCGCCGCCGCTCCAGACTCTAGATTAATGTAGACCCAGCTGCGTACCCGCCGACCGATCATAAATTTCCTCTAAATTAATTTCGAATAGATGGCTCGATACTTGGCTCGCGATTCTTCGGAAAGCCGGCAAAGAAATGGCATTACCTCGCGCGGCCCATTGAACAGCCGAAACGGTTGAGTTGGCAAAGACAGGGCGACTGTCACTCAACAATTCGAATCGCGAACTATCGTCGTATTAACCAATGGCGAACAATTTACCTCCCGTGTGAGATATATCGTACGCTTTTCCAGGCAAATAATATTTTCCACTGACCCTTGCTATCCCTACCATTTTCATTGTCTTAAATTCTCGGACGACTCCCCATTGCACAGCTTAAGCGACACTTTTCCCATCGATGTATTACGTTTCACGATGTTACGCTCAACTTCTATCCTTCAACTATCCCATCTTATTTCAATAAAATTTCGCATCTCAATTAATGATAATGTAAGCATCGTTTTTATCTCTAAATACACATATATATATATATATATATATATATTTGTATATAGTATTATTAAAAAAATATAAACAATTCATGAACAAAGATATTAAAAGTTCCACGTTGTATTTATTTCACTAATGATAGACAAAACATTGTGTTTTAAAATTCGATGACAATTTTATTTTATATAAATGATCCTCTTTCTGCTAGGTTAAAATTATAAAAAAAATTTTTCTTTAGAATTTCATGAAACGTAATAACTTAAATTAATGCCAATCTATTTAAGTATCGATAAAAATGATAAATGTATCGTTCAACAATTATTTTAAGCACGAAATCAATTATATTCTGAGATTTAAATATATGCATAAAAAAGATTATATATTACGATTTCATTAAGTTTTTCAAAATTTACATTTATAATATATTTATACTATATTATAATAGATAATTCACGCATTTAAATCCTACATTTTGTTGGGAGTATTTTAACACTTCTCTATAGTAATAATCACTATTATGATATTAGCGAGATATGTGAATTTATAATGAAACTGTTCTTATTAAAATTAAAAATAAAATGTAGAATAGCTCAGTTTATATATTATTCTACAGATCGTATCGTTATTATTATCGTACGTCGAAGCTAAATTCAGCTTAAAGTCTGCAAGTTTTGAAGTGTATCTTTCATTTAAATATCAACGAGAGTTCGTATAGATTTGTTATAATTCATCTCAGCCTTTGAAATGTGGAAATCATTGGAGCACCGAAAATGTATATTAGATTTAGTATTTCGTATAAAACGCCGGTTAAAAGAAAAGAAAAAAAACAAAGAGAAGAGAAAAGTTAAATTTCAACGGTCTTTTACGAATGGATGTGGGAACAAAAAAAAATTCATACAGTCTATATTACGCGCAAATTTAGAATTGAGAATATTCGTAAATTATTATTTTCACAAATTTTATTGCTACATTTTTTGTAATATATTATTGTAATAACAAATTAATCCTACGCTCTCTAAATTGCAATTGAAATTCAACATATTTGAAACTGTCTTAAAATATACGTGATTCATTTGGCGGCGGCAGCTTAGTTAAATGAAATGAAATGTCGAATACGTTTTACAGATAATATGAAATTCGTATGAACGAATGTTTAAAATCATAAGATCATAATTATCGGATAGAAACAAAGCCTAGAAACATAATATTTCCAAAGATTTAAATAAATGTATGAGACTTCAATAATTTAGATACAAAAGCATGAGAAAATTGATTTCAATAGTAATAAATTATAATGGCACAAATCATTTTATTCTTTTGTAAAATATATTTCATAGAAAATATCCTTTTGCATATTAATGTTAATAAAGTACTTTCCTTTATTGAGAATAAACAAGCCTTGGTGAAGCTGTCTTTTCATAATCTCTTTGTATTTAATAAAATCAATATCATTTACATAATTTATTTTACGGCTGAGTAGCGCATTTGCAAAACCAAACAGTTATTGAATAAGATTGAAGTAAAATTTGATTTCGAAAAAGCTCAAGAACAACTCGTTTTCTTCAATTCGGCTAAATTGGAATTTCAAAAACAAGGAAAAAGTCGAAGAAAAAACAGAAAAGCAGAAAATCGTTTTATTCAAGCGAAGGACAGTTTTTACGTATACTATCTATCTATCTATCTATCTATCTCTCTCTCTCGCGCGCGCGCGTATCCTGCAAGAGCTTCTATAATTCTGTAAAAGCTCTTTTGTCCCACACTTTTTCTTCTAAGAATATTTTTTGTTAAACAAGCCATAATAGTTAGTTTTTTTTTTTCTTTTGTAGATGGCTTGACATCTTATGCAATGCCGCAAGGGGTGCAACGTGGCTCGGAACTTGATCTAACGGATCGCACCTACGACGGCACCGAGGAAACAGGTTTTCTTAGCAAAGGTTTGGGACAACTCGCGGATGGACGTAGGGGACCCGATAATTTTAGATCGGATATTAATGGTGACGGCAAAGGTAAGTTATTTTATTTTATTCTCATTTTAAAATGTTTTTATTGCTTTTGCTTTACGTTTATTTTTTTCATTATATACCTATACTATTTAATTTTCCAATATCTATATAAGTTATATAACTACTAATTATTTATATATATTTTTATAAAATATAAATTTATTAATTAATACTCCAACATATTATATCTTCTTTAAATTACAATATTAATAGATAGTCATAAATGAACTAATGTCTCTTTTCCACTCTCTGCCTCTCTCTCTCTCTCTCTCTCTCTCTCTCTCTCAACAAATATTTCTCTATAACATAATAAGTACTTTTTATATCGAGTTCTAATTCAACTGTTTCTAGATTGATTATCTTGTACATTAACCGTATAGTTTTATATCGATAAAATTATATATAAAATTTCGGTTAAAATAACAATAATAAATTTAATCGTCTGTATGAGTCATTAACCATTAATATTAAAGATTAATGATATGAGTAACTGATGATGTATTTCCAAGTGTCATATTTCATATATATATATATATATATATATATATATATATATTGTTAATTAAGATACTACGGATATAATAGATTTCTTGATGCTACACTAATCATACAGTAAATAAATAAATAAATCGGATTAGAAAAAACGTAGTAGATAGGACCGTGTTAAAAAATTTTCAATTAATCTATATAAAAGTGTCGGATGAATCTCGAGATAAGCAATTTTATAATGGCTTTGCTGAAAGAGTACTTCTTAAGGCGAATAGAATTCTGAATTCGTAAGATGATTAATTATCCATCGTATCGTAATCGATTGAATTTGTGACGTGACCTACGGTGTTAAATAAATGAGTAATCGTATTACAGTTGTGATCAAAATTAAAATATAAAATCTGACGATATTTCGCAGTTATTTTATATATATAGACTTACTGAGAAATTTGATGGTGAATCACTCGATTGTCAAATAAGAAATGCATGCCATTACGGTGAGGTTGACATTTTTGATTTTTGAATGACTCTAATCGTTTCGTACACACGAGTCTTCACTTTTTGAAATATCAAATCGCAGTTTTTCGTGTACTAATATACTTATGATCTATTTAACCTAATTGATACAGTTTTTATGCATGTAACCGTTTAATATTTTAGACTACAATAGTCCATGACAGAGCCTCCCGTTTCAAATCACCTGATATTTGAAAATAAACTATATATTTTCTATTTTATAAATATAAAGAATTTTCTTTATCGAAACTTACAAAAACGATTAAGGAGGCAAAAAAAAAAAAAAATTAATTTTGTTATCATTATACGTAGATGTCAATCGATTCATGATATTAGTCGAGTTTATTTATATTATGTATCTAAAAGTAGATGGAAATTTCACGTTAATTAAAAATACATAATTATGGCCAAATTGTGCTTAGCTTAGGCGAGTAGTTCATTCGATCGACCGTGCAATGGTAAAACAGAGAACACAAGATAGTATTATGTATTTTGAGCTTACTCGATTTCAATCACCTACTATAGGCATTTCCCGATGTACAAAACAGGCTACCAAGGCATCTATGATACATCGTTTGAAGATATTGTAGCCACCTGGTGGTTTAATCCCCGTATTATTTTTTCCTACTTCTACTTGAGAGCATATATACTGTCGCCTTATCTGTGCACATCTCATCTCATCCGAATGACAATCGCCATTAAATATACCAGAATTTTACCATAATTATATTATTATTCCAACTAAATTTTATATTTCATTAATCATATTTCAATATAACATTCCACCGAATAATTAATATCAATAAATTATTTAATTTAATAAATTGGGAAATATATGTTAAACCATACTTTTACCCTCTCACTTTAATTGGCTTTTAAGCTCACTCACAATCGCGGGTCCTCGGCATCGGATCCGTTTACGATTAAAAATCCCCTAATCTTTTAGTTTGAATATATCTTAATTAGAATGCATATATCTCCCGCTTCAACATGAAATAATAATTTGTAATTTTTTTTTTCATTTTTTTTTTTTTATCAAGTATATACCCGTAATAAATACTGTATTTTGTTTTAATATCTTTAAATATATATGAATACTTTTTTTTTTTGTTCTCTTCATATTATACTTTTATCTTTATTTATTACTTAAGCTTTATTGTTCCTCACACGTACATCACACACAGTCACATATAAAATATTTTTAAACAGCCATGGATATAAATGCATAGAATCCGTTAATAATATTTTTTCAACTATGTAAGAATGTTTTTATTTCATTCGATGGAATATATTCATTAAAAATTAGAGTTCATCACAAACAAGAATATTATGTATTTATTACACTGTTTATTAAATTTAAGTTCAAACTTATATAATTAAAAAATAATTTAAATATATTAAGGTATTACATTCGTTTAAATAGGCTTATTACATTTATATTAATATAGTTTATATAATTTATATAATTAGTTAAAATATTCCATATATGCAGTCTCATTATAATGCCTATTAAATTATAAGTAAAAATTATTTTTTACATAATAAAAGTATAAGAATATCAGTAGTATAAATTACATTTGTTCAAATTACAGTATATATTTAATAACTTTCAATTACTATGATGTTCATAAGAGATTAGAATTATTATTGTTACTAAATTATTATCAAGTTAATTTAATCTATTGTGAAAATAATTAGATCATAAACTAATTAAGAGTGTTATTTAGATGGAACGTATAAAGCAAGAGTTTACAATTATAAAATTATATTTGTGTTCGATATGATGTAGATTTTATTGGCTCAAACTGACAATGTTGCTTTAATAATTAATAATTTTCCACCCGCGCTGGTCAAATGCAAATGCTCGGGGAGAAGTTAAGTGGACTTGTTTTTCAAAGATTTATTTTACAATTTATAAAACAATTACATTATTCATGTATTGGATGCGTCTCAAGTTTAATTGTAAAGATGCGATTTCTTGTGACGGATGTTTCACTACAAATGATGATCCTCGAGTCATGGACACGGACTGGACTTTGTGTACTCACAGTGATACGGTGACCTTGATTTGATCCCACAGGAGGGTTGATGTATGATCTTCCTTCTGGTCAGTGGATCACTTAACAAAAACTTGGTCACTAGTTTTCACCGATAAATGAGAACTGATTCCTACTTGGCTACTCCACGCGGACTTGGACAATCGCAACGTCGAAAAAAGTATTTTTGGCAGCAGCGCCTTCGATTGGCGGGAGACTCATTCCTTTCCAGAACTTAGCGACGTTGCCGGCGAAGGGGTTAGGGGAGGGAGGTGTTGTTGGTAAAACGTCTTCGTTTGGCCTATGCAAGTGGCAACGCGTGGATATGCAAACGGCAACAATGTATGCGTAAGTGATGTCTCGTGACATTGAGGGCATCGAGGACACACGAGGATTGGCCGATGTCGCACGAGTTGGATTTCTCGTTACAAACGAATTTTAGGAAATATTTTTCAACTCGATTGTTTATATATTTCTCTCACTCTTGACATATTCTCGCATAAACAGACTCGGCGCGCTCTTGCTAGCAAATGACAAAGGTCGGTTAATGCACTTTTTAACCTTTTCAAATTCAAAAAATTTTCAAAAGATAATATAATTAATATGTAGCATACATGAAATATACAGAAAACAGTATCTTGTATTTTGTTAAGTATATGGGGTTTAGTAAATGTCTGATGTTATCTTTCGCACAAGATTTCAATCTATTGCAATTCGTATTTTTCTCTCTTGATTCATCAAAAGCTCAGATGGATGCGATTAATTTGTACGTCTTGTAAGTTGTAGTTGATTATCGCTTTTTGATAATTAATAAACAAAATTGTTAATTGTTCTACAACTCATCTATGTCATGAATTTTAATATAGATTATTTTAGTTTTTCTTATAGCTATGCCATTCCCATATAATTCGTGTTTTCTTGTGAACTAAAAAGAATAATTCAATAATACATATATGATTTTATTAAAAAATATTTAACTTTTGGGGCAAATTTACTCGGAGTAAGTTTACTATGAAGTTTCGTATGATATTTATCATCTTTGTGCTCATTATATTTTATAACTTTTTCGTATAAAGTCTCCTACATATAATATTAAAACTAATAATATAGATTAATATTTACATATGATCGCAAATCATTATTCATACTATATAATTTCATCGGTTTGAAAAATTCAGTTCAAATATTTATAGCCACGAAATATTTTCAATAAAACAATCATAATATTAAATCCGAGCATAGATAATTTATTATGGTATAGATATTTAAAAGAAAAATTATTATCATTAATTGTTGTTCGCAAATAAATTTCGTAAATATCTTATTAAATTTTCTTCTACAATGTATGTACTATTGACTTATTTAAAGATATTCACCATTATTCTTAAAATTTAGCTAATTCAAAATATTGAGTAATGTTTTGAAGGAGAGTTACAGAGACAGTGACAAAGCAAAAGACAGATCACTGAATAATAAATAAAAATTAATTATTCTAAGATAATCAAACAATAATTTAATATTGTCATTCGATTGCTGGAGTATAAAAAATTGACCAACAATGCTGTATTCAACTTTAATAAAGAATCATAAAAATAGAAGGAATCAAATTGTCATATTTCTAACTTAAAATGATCTAATTTAAGAAAAAGCTATAAAATATTAAGGTATTGTCAGAAATCTTTAAATATCCTAAAATTTTAATTTTTAATAATTTCCGTTATCTCAAATGTTTATTAGTCGATGCTTATTAATTTTCATTTAAACGAGTTCTTTTTATAATAATTAAGCGCAATTATTCATAGAAATCAAAAACTGTAATCACTTAATTCTGTACAATTCTTTATATTTAGAAAAAAAAAAAAAAAAAAGAAAAAAAAATATTTATAGAGACAAATTTTTATCCAAATAACAAGCAAATTCATTAGCTATCATAATCGATAAATACGAATGAAATGATTGTCC